AGGGCAAGGCAGGCAGAGCCGGACATGAGGGTAACGTCACAAAGAGAGGTCAGCGCCCTTGAACATCTGACTGCAGTAGGTTGTTCATCAACGCCTGCATTGTTCGCCTGGAAACATGAAACCCAGGGCGATGACGACTGGATACCGGGGGGCTATATAGACTATATTTTGATGGAGAAACTTCCAGGGACAAGCCCAGGTTACTGGTCCGGCGTCATGAAAAGGGAAGAGCGTGATCAACTCCGCAGAGCGTTCAAGGAAGCATGGCAGTAAGTTATTACAAGCATTTCTGCAGGCCATATGTTTTTTATCGCAAAGGGTTGGGAGAAGATGGGATATTCTAACTGATTACCCTTGGTTCTTAAGAGAATGCGTTGCCTGTGGCAGAGTCCACCAAGACCGTGGTATCCGAAACCTCGTCTGGGATCGTGAAAAGCAGAAATGGTAAATATCCTCATTCTCTTGGCTTGAACTGGTTTGCTGACGGAGAGGCTTCACTTGCAGCTACATTGTTGACTGGGAGGAGTGGAGTGAAGCTACCGATGAAGATGTTTGGCGCGATACCCAGTACATCGCGTGGAACCTGGCGTGGGTTCGAAGTCATAATTACAACGATATGTCAACATGGACTCTGTGATCGATGTGAAGGATATGGTATCAATTTTGCTTTTTCTCTCTGTTGTCGAGGAATCTGGGATGAAACTAAAGCCTTCCTTAACGACTGTATTGTCACGTGGAATAAAGGTTTATGGCCAAGCCGAAATCACGCCCGGGCGGACAGCAAAGCCCGAGAGATCAGTGGGGTTGGCTTACATTAGTACAGACTTGGTTGCATGACACTAGAATAAATAAAAAGAGGTAATGAACCTTTCGTGCACGAAGAAAAAATCACTCCTTTTGGACTATCTATGTACAAACACAGGGGTAGAGAGATCAGACTCAGCGTGCTTCGGCTTCAACTCATAGATGCATGAATTGCCTACATTAGGCTTAAACTCACGCAAGCCCCTTGTTTCTCTTCCCCTTGTTGAGGCGATGCTTGGATCTCATGAGTAAAACCTTGCACGAGGGATAGTCAGGAACTTTGACCATGAACAACTGGATATCACCCCATTTTAAGGCATCGTTTGACCTGAAGTACCCAGAGCTTTCAAGTAAGGTCCCTGGGCGAGCTGATGTACTTGTCATCATCTTCCGCAGAGTATTATGTTGCTGTCTCTGCCGTGGAGTTGGAAATCCCTCTTCGGAGATTGCCATTGAATGGTGTACAAGGTAGAGTAGGTCGTCAACATTAACCACAGGCTGAAATTTACCATTCTTGTTGAGGCCATACTCTTCAGTGAGGGTGCCACACACCAGCTGTAGAAATGCTTAGAAAATATTCTATAGTTTTAGGGTAAGACTCACATGCTTCATCTGTCTTTTCAAGA